ACGGCTCCCCACAAAGCTCCAGGCAGTGACAGTCCCCCCTCTCTGCCACCCTGGTGTGTGAGGTGTGATGTATTCACGCTGCTCCAGCCAGCACAGGAGCGCAGCACAGACGGTGACCTCAGGCAGAGGGACCAGAACTGAAACCCAGCCATGTTCTGGGCACAGCTGTTTGCAGAGTCAGTGTCTGCTGCTGGCCAAAAATACATGATTTTTTTTTTCTGCTGTTGTTAGTTTTTAAATATTTTTTTTAAATCATGTGCTGCTTTCCTACTTGTGCTGCTGGCTCCAGAGATCCCTCTTGCAGCAATGTAAACACGGCTACTGTGTGTCCCCACGATTGCAGCCTGTAGCTCACAATGAGACAGCCAATGCCAATAGATGTATAATGAGCATTTAAAAAGCACTTATTTTGTCATCCAATCATCCGTCTTCCTCATTGTGTAAATATTTTTTTTTGTTTCCACGACAAAATGACTTTAAAAGAAATGTTCACCAGGAAGAAAGAAAATTTTGATTCTGGTGATAAAATCAGGACAGTCAAAATGATTAATATGACATTGGGGAGAGCTCGCAAATGAGGCTTAATTTCTGTGGCAAAAAGACCTCGTGGATACATCAGTGCTATGTTGTGCCTGGAAATTTAGTGGCAGCTGGAAATTTGATGGTGACCTCTGATAAGTAAGAAAATGGTGAGGGTTTTAATGAATGACTTGAATAAGAAAATAAGTCAGTCTGTGTGGTATTCTTCCTGATATTTGTTTTGCTATTAAGTTCAGTTAATGTGGTTCTCATTGTGTCAGGATGACTGTGTTGACAGCACATCACAACATATGAGCATGGGGCAGTTTGACTGTCAGAGAAGGGGACACATTGCTCCACAATCACGAGGTAGAGCAGGGAGGTGACTTTTGGAAGCCTTTGGCAGGAGACGTCAGAGATTGTAATGACAGAAAGAGTCCTGATGAGCTTCTTTGCTCTCCTCTCTCAAACTGGCCATAGGACCTAAAGGAACTCCTTTCTGTTCAACTTTTCTTTCTTTTCTTTTCTTTTCTTTTCTTTTCTTTTCTTTTCTTTTCTTTTCTTTTCTTTTCTTTTCTTTTCTTTTCTTTTCTTTTCTTTTCTATGTGCGTGTGAAAAAAATTACTCTGTAATTATATCTAGAAAATAGGGGTGGCAGGAGGTGGCTTTAACCACAAAGTTTGGGAAAGTTACACTCATGGTGGATTACATTCACTGCAGTATGTTCTTAGCCTCACTTTATTAACTTGCAGTGTTTATTCTGTGGCTCTTGTATCTTTGTTCTGAGGTTCAGGAGCATATTTTGTAAAATGTTGATTTTCCATGGGAGTATTTATAGACTATGATTGAGTCACCTGTTAATCTTCCTCTTGTAAAACCAAAATAAGCTCTGTGTTTCTGTCAGTATAATGCACACTTTCAAGACCTCATTCATTCTCAGTTTTTCCAGTTCAGTGTCCTCCTTCTTGGCTGTTATACCATCACTGCATTCATACTCCTGGTGGTAGCCACTGCCCAGAGCTTCTGCTCAGCAGAGGGCAATGGGAACCCATCTGGGCTGGTTTCCATCTGAAAAGTAGACCAGCATGGAATAGATGAGAAGAACTTGAGGGTCAGTACCTGTGAAAGCCTGTACTTGCCACTGGAAGCAGTCCCAAACCCTGTCAAAGCCAAAGCAATGCTTTTTCTAATTTAAAGCAATAAGGGCTGTGTAAAAGCTGCTCCTTTCTTCATTCATAATATTGCTGTTGATTAAAACCTCAGGTTTGGAGTCCTTTCTGTTTTCTGGTGCCTTCAGTATTTTCCAGGGAAAGTTCAGCAAATTTAGTCAGTCATAGCCCAGTCACATTTCTTGGTTATCTTGGAGAGCCTCCTTCAATATTACTCCCCTGAGGATCCCCAAGCAAAAGGCTGGAAACCTGTGAGCTAAAATACACAGAAAGGCAGCACAAAGGCACATGCTGACTATTTTTCATAAGAGCATATTCAGCGCTTGGGTGACCATCTCAGTAAGTCTCTGCAGCTCATTTCAGATGACTGCAGTCCATCCAGATTCCATGGTCTGTGAATCAGGAAGGAGGTGGAGTAATCCCTGAATAACTGTCTGGTTTTGGGAGCTCTTGGGTACAGTATAATGTTCAACCTTGATCCTTTAAGTTTATCTGGGGCTTTGTGAACACAAAATTGCTAAACTGATACAGAACATCCTCTTAGACTTCCCAGAAGCAACTCAGATGTTTGTAATGGAAGTCATAAAGGTATGGAGATGTTCTGTTTCTTTTCAGTTTCATGCAAGTGAAGTGTTTCAATCCCTTTACAGACCTGTAGCCATCTCTACAGTGTTACAATGCTCAAGTCCATTTAGCCCTTGGCTAATGGGAACATTGTTTTTCCAGAGCAGAAATGGAACTGAATATGTGAATATCTCAGTCACTTCATTGCAAATTCTGCTAGTTTGGTTCCAGGTGTTGAAAAGCTGATCAAAACCTCTCGACTCTCCAGTGAAGCAGATGAAAGATGATTCCCACTCAGTACTTAACTAAAGGGATTGCAACAAACAGTGAAGCAGCAGAATGAACTTTTGGACTGAACTCACTGGCACACTACTTGAGTTTCCAGGTACAAACATCTACAGGAAAAGACACCTGTGTTTTTAAATACCTTTTTTCAACACAAAAAGTATCCCCAGGTCCCTTCACAGCATTACCTCAAGTAGAAAAATCCATCAAACAAAATATTCAATCAATCTCTTTTAATCATATGATCAAAGTGTTTTACCATGGCAAATTGAACAAGCATCTAAAACGAGAGATGAAAAGCAATCAGCACAGCAAAGAAATTACTTTAATCTGGGAGGAAGTAGGAGAGTACAGGGAAGTTTGGGTGACAAAGCCGTGGTGGACAAGACTTCTTCAGTGAGGGGTTGTGTTAAGATAAAAGGAAGAGCAGATGCTGGAGCCCCAGAGAGAGAAGTGCAGAGGGTGATTTGGCCTATGTGATGTGGTGGGTTCTGAAGGCCAGGAGAAGGTATTTTATGTTGTGGCACAAACTTCCACACTGGGGGAAGAGCAGCAGTTAGACCAGAAAATGGCTGAGATTTCCTTCAGGAGAGGTAGACAAAGAACAAAGAAGTCTTTTTCTTCATCAGATTTGGCTTAGAATCTGATGGGATTCTGATGGGATTAAGGAATGGGAAGGATGAGAACATTTAGAAGACAGAGCTGCTGCCAGAGTCTCTGTAAAATTAATTAGTAGACTTTATTTTCTACATTCATCAACAGGCTGGAGAGGAAATGAGTAGAATAATTTTAAAGTAATTTTCATTCCAACATATGTATTTTCTAGAAGGATAGTAAAGAAAACATATCACACCAAACTTGATGGGGTCCTTTGTTTCACACAGTTTGGCAAGTTACTTTTACACTGGACTTCATATTTCCCCAGTAGGTGCAGCTAACTACTTAAACTGTGGAAGGATATTTACTATTTCTAGAAGTCCTTGGACAGCTCTGCAAACTTTGCCTTGTTTCTCTGTCCAAGAGCTATATATAGTCTTTGCTTAATCAAGGTCTCAGATGTTGTGTGAGCAGAGCTAAATATTTTCGAGAGTATAAAAAAGATAACTCCAGCCATTTTGCTTTGCTAGAGCCAGTGTTTGTCTAAATTTGTAGCAACCGAGGGTACTGTAAAGGCTCATTGATTTGTGCAATTTCTTACTCTGAAATTAACAAGCAGATATAAAAAATGCATCCTAAAAACTTTTAGACTCATAACATCTCTGTAAAGCTGCTTAGTTGTTTTTCAGGCTACCTTGTTCTTTATCTCAAGATACGAAACACCAATGACCATCATTATATTGCATCTGACTCTATTGGGCTTGACCTAACTATGATCTATGAATCCTATCACAATATCAATATTCTATAATCATGGCAGGAGAATAGAAAATTCACCTATCTGAAAAAACTCACCCGACAGTGAAATCTGACAGCCAGTGCTGACAAGTACCCTGAGGGAAGTGCCTTTTTCTCAGCTGAAATTTGACCAGGAACCTCAGGGATAGGAAGCCCTCTCCTGAAGAATTGGCTGAAAGATGTTTAATGACTCAGAGTAACTAAGGATCTGTTCCCATTTCTGCTGGTGGACAGACCAGGTATGAAATGACTAAACAGGGAATCCCTCTCCCCTTTTATTCCCTTCTGTCCAAACTATCAGACCGGAGAAGGACTGGTAGGACATGAAGGTGCCCGGAGAGCAGGGGCTTCGGAAAATGACAGCTATGGGCAGCTTTGTGGGTGAGGATCAGGATCTGCAATTTGAAATGGAAAAGAAACAGATTTCTCCGTACTGTGTGGGGGAGTTGAGGTAGAAAGGACAGGAGGGTTTCCAATGGGCTAGAGGTGAGTTTAGTCTCTGACACTGCTCTCTTCTTCATCCATCTCCTCTGGCAAACTTTGCCTCTTGCTCTCTCAGTTGGAAAACACCCCCTGACACAAAGGTCGCATTAACCTGAGGCACAGGGCAGAGTAAGAGACAGCACGGGCCTAAAGCCATCACCTGTCGTTCACTACAAGAAAACAGGGACCTCCGAGGAGCCTGAGCAGCACTTTCACACTGCTGTAGGATGGAGTGGCCCGGTTTAAATCACAGCCCAGAGCCCAGGCGGCAGCCCCAGCACAGCGGACATCGCCCTGGGCCCCCCTGGGGTTCCCGTGTTCGCCCGGGGGCCGGCCCCCCAGGACCCTCACACCCCGCTCTGGGCCAGGCCCGTCCCTCGGGGCCGGCGCTCCGCCCCGGGGCCGCGCGGCCCGTGCCCGCCGGGGGCCGGGGCTGGCGCTGGGGCGGGCCGGGGGAGGGCTCGCCGGGCTGCGGCGCCCCAGCCCGGCCAACCCGCGCCCGCCGGGGCTGGGCCATAAAAGCGCCGGGAGCCGCCGGGGCCGCGGCTCCAGTTGGCGGCAGCCGTGTCGGGTGCTCGTGGGGCGGGCAGGGCAGCGCGGCCGCCGCTCCGCAGCGCAGGGACCGCCGCCGGCCGCCCCCAAGATGCTGTTTTGGCACACGCAGCCGGAGCATTACAACCAGCACTCGACCGGCAGTTACCTGCGGTGAGTCCCGGGCGGCGGCAGCCCTGGCACCGGGTGCGTGTTCGGTCGGGTGCCCCCGTCCCGCGGCCGCCCGCCCGCCGCCTTCCCTCCCGGTGCCCCGCAGCGCCGCTCCCTCTGCCCGAGAGACCGTTTTCCTCTTTTGCTTTCTCTTTTCCCTTCTTTATTTTTTAGCGCCTGGGTAGGCAGCTCTCTGCAGCGTTGCTTTCTTGCTTGTGCCGGGTTCCGTCCTCTCCGGGCTGGGGTAGCGCGGCTCCCAGGGAGGAGGTGCGGCGGCGGCGGAGCGCTGTCAGAGGTCTGAGGAAAACGCCTGCTGGCAAATTGAGAAGGCACCCACTTTTCTTGGGATGGGATTTCTTTCTCTGCGTTTTAGGACGATGTGTGAAAAGCGCAGAATTTCACTTTCTGAACTTGCCTAAACCAGCTTTTTCCTGCCTCCGCACAGTTGCGTTTAATTAAATGTGCCTAATTTAAGTACAAGGGCTGCTAAACAATAGTCTGTGACATGTGTAGCACAAACCCGTGTTTCCTCCCTCCAAACGATGTCAAAGCAGGCAACTTTGGGAGTTCCCCTTTTGCTGGGTGCTTGTGAATTATTTGCCTTCTGAAGATGTAAAGCTCAGCCGTCAGCTGGTGGCGATTGCCGGAGTGGGATTTTGCTGAATTGTGGCAGTGGAGAGCCTGGCTGTGGCCCAAGAACCCTGACTTTCCAATGTACCCCCAAATAACCACTCTTGAGAGAGCATTGAGTTTGTCGGGGGAAGCACTTCGAATGCAGATAATGCTTCTCTTTCAGGGAGACATGCTATCTTGACTATTCCTGCAGCCTATCAGTGTACTTGCAAAGGAATTTTATTTTGGACTAAATAATAATTCCCTGTTATCCAATTATACAATATTGGGAGATTCTTGCCTTCTGGCAGCTTTTCCGTTTCTTCGTACAAGATTCTTCATCTCCTCTCTCTATGTCAATAACTCAGTTTCACAACATGTGTGTGGCAAAAATCTTGTTCTCTCTTGCTTTGCACTTGCAAATCTGATTAATTTAGGACAATGAAAGTGGTACTAGCAGAGAAGCATCAGTGTATTCTCCATTAGAGAGTGTTTATGGTGATCAGGCTGCTGCAGTAACTCCATGGATTTGTAGCAGGAGTGCTACAAGATCATCAGGTCTGGGTCAGGCTTTGCTTCACAATTTAAATTCCGTTTAATGGGCCAGAAAACATATTAGCTTATTTTTGCTGGCTTGGTGCTAACTGGGGGATAAAGGATATCTGTTCTGTCAGGAACGCTGTTGGTATGGAGGTGACCTGTTGGTGTTTTAGGAACAAACTTCAGTTTTAATGAGTACCTGTCTCTGTTAAGTGGTACGTTTGATTTGGGATTAAAATCCCTATAGCCACTTTTATGGCAACAATGCCCTCAGATGTTTCAGGGGAGGTTGGTTGAACAAAACCCTTGTTTTTTTTATGTAGAGATGGCTAATTCTGGCCAATTCACTTTCCATGAGAATGTGTCAGGACATGCATTTCTAACAGGGGCATTTTTTTCTGCTGAGCAATGCCCTTCTGAAGGCTTTCCATAGCGCCTTTTAGTGACTACAAGAAACTGAAATAGTACAATATTTGAAATTGCTGTAAGAAAAGTTTGTATAAGTTATATTTTGTAGAGATTGAGAGCTTTCTGTGTATTCATGTAAGTTCTGCTATATTTCAGTGGTATTTGTAGCTGGAGCAAGATAATGCTACAGAAAAATTCTTATAAATTTTCATTCATTTTTTATGAAAACGCAGTACATGTTTTACCCTCTGTTCTGTCAGCTGACTGAACTCTCAATTAACTTTCTCTCCTTCTAGTTATGCAAATTAATTGTTATTTAAATCCAGAACTGTAAATTTGTAGCATAACGGTGAAAATCAGGATAGTTTTAAGGGGTTCAACGTTTCTTTTTCTTTTTAAGGATAGGAACTGTTGTGAAAGCCTGATTTTCCCTAAACTTGATTTGCTCTTGAGTGAAGAGTTGAATAAGTGTTGTGATGGCTTATATGCTTATAACTTAAAAATTCTTTTGACCTCATTCTAAGTTCCAAACACTTACAATAAGGTCGAACTCTTAAGAAGGTCTTGACCGAAAGCAGTTGTAGCACAGGCCATTAGTTTAAATGCTCTAGGAGTAAAAATGTGATTGTGTGGCTTTGTTTGAGCTTAAATATGGTGAAGCTTTCCAGAAAGCAAGTCATGGATTCCTCCGTGCTTGCAGAATTCAGTGATCAGACAGCTGTGCTGGCAGGTGTAGGGATGCAGAGAACCTGATGTGAAATATGGTATTTAAATTTTGACTTCCCCTTGCCTAAATTTCTGAACTGTTTCAGGTGAGTGTATGTACAAATTCCTCACCCCAGCACTTAAACCCAGGCTGGATTTTGTGCACTGTTTCTGCCAGACTGCGGGAGTTTTCGTGCTGGAGTTTTTGACCTGTTCTCATCTGCAAAGCCACAGGCATTCAGAGAGCATTGTGCAGAGCAGGTTAGGAGCAAATGTTGGCATCCTCAGGAGCAAATGTTGGCATCCAGGCTGGGTGAGATGACTCTGGGCTGGGTGAGATGACTCCGGAGCAGTATCAGATCCTGCATGTGTGTGGAGCAATGCTATCTATTTCAGAAATCTACTGCAGGCATTTCTGTCACTTCATTGCTGTAGTAAATCATCACTAAGGAAAAAAAAAGCCTCTCTGTGGCAGCAGTTAGGCAAGAGCTGTGATTATGTCAGTAATGCCAGGAAGCAAATGGGGCTGGATGCCTTCGAGTCCCTGATAATACTGGGGGCGTGGGGTTGGAAGAGAGAATGGAAACAGAGATGGGTGTTTCTTTTCTTCTTTCTGCATCTGAAACGGCACAATTTGCTCTCTGGCATTGTTTTCTATTAAACAGGAGTACCTGTGTTTGAACCAGGCACTTGAGCAGTTTACTCTGAACTCCTGCACTGTTTCACTGATGACCTGGGTAGCCTTCAAGGTTGTGAGTGCTATAAGTGGATCATTAACTGAACAGGCAAGGAAAAAATTCTTAATGCCCTTTCAGGTTGCGTGCCTGTACGTGCTGGATGGTTTTTCTTGGAGCATTTTGTGTATGGGGTTGTCAAAAGGAGCAGAGCTACAGCCTGTGTAAAGACAATCTGGAAGAAATAGAGGAGAAAAAGAATCACTTGTTCTGAATTGTCACTGTGTTCAGTATAATCCTCCTAATTTGGAAGGGTATTAATGTTTTAAGCAGGTGGACACAGTGATCAGCAGCATTAGTGGCATGGGAAGGCTAATGTGGTTCTTCAGTATCAGACAGGCTGAGATAAGGATGCTTATTCCTGACATCTCATTTTGTACTAATCAACTCATCATTTGTTGAGCTCTCAGCCTTGCTAATACCAGTTCTGCTTGGGGATTAGTGTGGGTTGGGATCAGCCTGGGACTAAAGCAGCAGGCAGGTCACTATCAGCATTTTGTAAAGGAGTGGGAGCTGGGGCTGTGTGCAGGTCCTAGTGAAGCTGCTCCCACACATCTGGGTGTGCATTTACAAAGGTAGCCCAGTGCTGACTTAAGAGCTGTGTGATTCCCTCGAACCAGGTTTACTAGAATGCAAGGAGATGTTATGAATAAATTAATCCAGCTGTGCATGCCGTCATTTACCTGAATATCTCCTTTGTACACCAGAGTTGTCTGCTTCCCACCCATGGCTGCTGCTTGAAGACGTTTTACTGATCTGACTTTTGGCTGTCAAAGTGCCCTTTCTTGCCTTTTTTTTTTTTCTGAAAGGCTTTTGTCTGAGAACCTGAGAACTCTTAAATCAAGTATGTCCACAAGGATGAAGGCTCTATTTTGATATAGTTTTTCCTTGTCAAGAAGACTGTTTAACTGAAAAGTGAATCTGATTTATTTCTTAAAAACTTGCATTAGTTCTCAGACATACTCTGTTTTGCCAGCGCTACGTTCTTTTCCGTGCAGTGCTGATATCTTAGATGCAGAAGTTGCCTGGTTATATTAAACAGGCCAAACTCTTCCTCTTTTAGCCATTTTAACCTGGTGTTTCTCCAGAGACCATCCTGTTATCTCAGATCATGAGAAGCAGATGCGGATTGAGGCTAGGATACCCCATAAACTCCTTCTGACTGTGTGTAACTTGTGCGTTGCAGAGATGTGCTTGCGCTGCCCATCTTCAAGCAGGAGGAGCCGCAGCTGTCTCCTGAGAACGATGCCAAGCTGCCCCCCTTTCAGTACGTCCTCTGCACAGCCACCTCCCCCGCCGTGAAACTGCACGAGGAGACTCTGACCTACCTCAACCAAGGTAGGGTCTGCAGTACACTGAAGGAGAGGATGTTTCCTGGGAACAGTTCATGTGATGTGATCCCATAATTTGCCTTACTGGGAGGGTAGCGGGATGGGAAAAAAGGGGTAGAAGTGGGGAGGGGGGTGGAAGAAAGGAGGAATATTTAATTTTCCACATTTATGTACCAGATTATCAACTATTTTAAAATAAAGAAATACCACTGATTAACTGTTGGCTTAAGGCAGTGTTACAGCATGCACAGTTCCCTGTGGCAAAATACTGACTTGATCTCACACACCTTAAGCTGCAGTCTCCTGCCTTCATCTCACAAGGCCAGTTTGATGATGGACTGGGTAGGGCTCGTACCACTGCAAGTCCCCTGGCACTGCTGGAGGGCATAGCCAGGCAATGATTTAGCAGGTATCCAAGGGCTGCTCTGAGGTCTGGGCAGTGACATCTCTCCAACAGGCTGGTGGCTCTGCTCTGTGCCTAACTTGACAAGTTGCCGGGGTTCAGTGCAGCAGGGTCCTCTATAGCAGACCTCACAGAGTGGTTGGTACTCCTGGATAAGCACTTTGTTTCTCTGTGTTCTTTTCTTTTCCCCCCTTTGGCAGCGTTTGTGCAGACACATCTGTGGTTGGTGTTTGGCTGTTGCTTTGCGGCACCTCCTGTGCGTGGGTCTTGAGGGGATGAGACCTCTCCATGCACAGATTATGCTAAAACACATTTTCACTCAGTTTCTGCCAGGCTGTAAGAAAGGGCTTAACAACAAGCTGAAGGCTGTCTGCCCTCTCACTGAGATCCTCTCCTGCCTCAGGATACTGCCTCATGTCTAAGCTTCATGCCCTGAGTAGGATGCCCACTTGGGTGCCTCTCTGGATAGATTTCTCTTAATGCTGGTTGAAATCAGAGCCCTGACCTCCCTTGGTCTCTGAGCTCAGGTGCAGCTGGCTGCTGGATCTGTGTTGACAGCTGGTAGACCCATAGAACCCCCACAGAAAGATCAGGCTCTACCCAAGGAACGAGGTATTTCCTGTCACATAAGCTGGCACTGTTCTGTCTCTCAGGATCAAAAGATGCTTGGGATATGTGACTCTGTCATCTCAATTTAGTCATCTAAACACAGCAGATCCCAGGAGATTATAATGGGACATTTCAATTGAGAGATTGAGATCAGTCTTCCTATGAAACGCAATTCTTTCCTACTGGAATAAAAGATTTTTTAAAATGAAAATCTGTTGACAGCCAAATATTTTAGCATACTTGAAGCAGTGCCTACTTTTTTACCTTGGCAGGGAAAAAGTTAGACAACTTTTAGTGCAATACTGTGAGTTTTTTAAAAAATTGCATGACTGGAGCAATCCATGTTTTCCTTTGTAAAGTGAGACTGTTACTGCCTTTTATATAGACCATGTTGTGTTAGGCTTTGTCCTGCTTACTATTGCAAGGAGTTGTCTACTGTTACATCTTGACAGTGCTTCCTGCTTTGTTGTCATTTCTTGGACATCATCTGTCTTTCACCCCTCGAGGTGGGATGTGTATTTGCAGAATACAGAAGAGCATGAATGTGGGCAGGCCTGGAGGGGCAAAGCAGGGATGGGGCTGGCAGGAGCTGTGCAGAGGGGCTGAGCTGGTCTGTCTAGTTTCTGTTAGTGGGCTATTGGTGAGAACATTGCCATGGGTTAAAAAAGGGTGAGGATTAAAAGGCTCTGTCAGAAAATGAATCCCCTTAGTAGAGTTATGTTCTATGAGCTTGAGGAGGTGTGTGAAGGGGACCTCGAGGCAGCTGAAGTTTCTGGAACCAGTGCTTGTGGCATGGGAGAAGAACTGGCTGACTACAAAGCACTGTGACCTAGCTGCAGTGCCACATCTCATGAAGCAATTCAGGACCATTCCTTGTACCTTATCACCTTGTGCTGGCTGTAAGCAAAGGGACACCTCTTGCACCTTAACCTCCCTCTGTGTTTGTCATGGATTGGCCAAGCACTGTTACATAAGACTTCCCTTCTTGAGTGTTGTGATGGATTACTTTAGCAAATGGGTAACTTCATTAATGAATGTCCCTCTGCCCTGCCTGTGTGTCAGTCATGGCTGGCTTGTAGTAAGGTAGGTACAAAGACAGTGGCTGTCCCAGCAGCCCCAACAAAGCAATTCACATCCATTGTGGTTACTTTCTCAAACTGTGAGTAAGGGCTTTGGGGTTTTCTGCTTGCTAGGTGATTCTTGCTGTTCAAATGTTCCTTCTCAGCTTTAGCTCTTCACCACTCAGTTATGACCTTTTGTCACTGTGAAGCAGCTCTGCTTCCTGCTCTGGAACACATTCTCCACACGTGACAGGTTCCAGTGGTGGTGAGTGGACCAGCTCAGGAATGTCCATATGCAGAAGTGCATGGAAGAAAGCTCTGACCAACCTGACCTATGGGCTGTGGAAAGCTGGAAGTACTGGGTAGCAAACTGAAGGCCATGTTGAGTAGCAGAGATGCAAGAGGAATCAGTGGAGAGTTCCGTGTGGGGTCTGAAAAGACTTCATATTGGCTAGGAAGGAGGACTGTCCTGTGGCTGTGTTTGTGTGCACATGGGAGAGGGCTCCAGACTTGTGAAGCATAATGGCTTCTCTTGAGCCTTGCTTCTTGCAGGATAGACCTAGAGGGATGGTCAGTGGGGTGGAGGAGGAAGAGATCTTTGGTCTGGACTCTCCCCAAGGAGGGAGGCTGAGAGGACTGGAAACCAGAGTGCAGTGTTTGCACAAAGGGGCAGGGGAAGGATTTGTGAGGGAGCATAACAAAGTGAGCTTAGCTGTTAAGTTGACTTGGGGACATTCAGCAGTGGCAGAGTCCCAAGTTTTTCTGCTCCGGTTTGAAACCATGAGTGCTCTCTGGCCACAACTCTAGAACCAGCCTGTAAATGAGGTAACTAGAGTCAGATCTGTAGCTTGGTTTCCAAAGACTGACTCATTACACTTGTCAGTCCCAATCTCTTTCCTCTCCTGCCTTCCCACATTCCTTGGGAGACTGGAGCCAAATTGAACTCAGTATTAGTTTGTTGATCCTTAGGGCAGTTCCTTCATTAAGAGGTCTTTACTGGATCTCAGGAGGATTACTCATCTGATGGGACAAAGTACATTATTAGTAAGGTGTCTCAATACCACTCCACCTTCAGTCCATGAGACTGGTAAAGGTGCTGTCCTTGCACTGGAAGCTGCTGCTGGCATTTCTCCTTTGGTCGGGGATCACATCTGTCAACAAGAACTACATTGTCCAGAAGTCTGCAGCACAAACATCCTAATGTTTCTGGAACTAGCCTGCCTTTTAGCACTGTTTCAGTGTCTCTTGTGGATAGGAATTTTCAAGCAAACAATCAACCAGCAACCATATTACAAACCACTGCTTCAGCAAGATGGCTTGATGCAGTGCATATTCCATGGTCATATGGGGTGTGGTTTCACCATGGCTGGCTGAAACCAGTTTCAAACACGGACAGAATTGGGTGCAACGAAAGGTGGTTCCAGAAATTGCCGCAGAAGGAATGTGGAGGAAACAAGCACTGTGTACAGTAGATCTGAATGCTAATAAAGTTGAGGAATAAAGTCATTATTGTGAAAAACAAAATGTCAAAAATCACAAAAACCTGAAAGTCATTGCCCAGGGGAATCAACTTGTAGTGCCAGAACCACATGTGGACTGTGAGCTGTTCAAGTCATGATTTTATTTCATGACCAGTGTTGGGCTGGCTCAGAACTTCAGATGGTAATTACTTCAAATGGAGGGAGGCTAAGTTTGGTGGCAGAAGGTCACTGAGAGCTGTGTGAGAGATCCAGCCCAGAGTCCCAGAGGTATTTCACAGTAACTTCGCCGTCATCTGGCTGTAAAGTTTCCTTGGGCTCTGTTCAGCTCTCCCGATCTGCAGTGTGTGACTTGTGGTTCTTGGCTCTGCAAAGACTTTAGTGTACAGCTGGCTGGGGTTTGGAAGGCTGGACACCCCCCTGCATTATGGTGTCTACCAGGAGTCAGCCTAAGTGCCAGTCCTGCACGGTTCAGAAGACAAACAAGCCAAAAACCCAGGCCATGAAGGAAAACCACTAATATCTGAGAGAACCTGTGATTTTGGGAGTGTTGCTGTAGAGGTGCATTAGCAAGTGATGCCTCATAAACCTCATGATGGACTTGAGTCTGGGTCACACCTAAACAAAAGCCCAAATTTCAACCCCAAAATGCCAAGGCATATATCCGGGTTCAAGATGTGTGTGCATAAATTGATACATTTTAAATGGTGCTGCATTAAAATCTGTTAGGTGTTGTCCTGCCTCAGCTCAACTATAGATGTGCTCAGGTTGCTTCTCCAAAGAAAGGTGCAGGAAGCACTGGGCAAGAGGGTACTTTGGAGTAGATGCCTGATTGTTTGAGTAGGAGATGAAATTGCTTACAGCAGGAGGAAGAAGAGAACCTTTGCCTCCTTTAAAAAGTCTAAAGCTCAAATTTGGTTGCCTAATCTACAGCAAGAGAACCCAGTTTTAAACACTGAGCTTTACAGTAAATGAAAAGTGCTGTTTTATATTGACATTAACTCCTACGTAATTGAGTTTTTATGGGGTCACAACTGCCTGGATGTTTATACTTTTCCTGGAATGGTTCTTTATTTGCCTAAATGAAGTATAGAGAAAGTTGAGTGACCAGCTCTGGCTGTGTGTGCTTCTGGTTTAATTATAGCTCTGTTTATGGGGATATTTTTGCTTTGTCCCATGCTAGCACTACCTCTTTTCCTAACAGTGACTGCCACCACTGAGCAGGCCCTGGGCATGTGTGGGAGCTCTGCTGCTGGTGGCTTTTCCCATGTGGACAAACATTCCACCCTTGCCTGCGATCACAGGCACAGCAGTGGCTTTGTGCCAATGAGACTGTGAGTACCAGGTGCTCCTGGTTCCTGCCCACCCACCCATGCATCCTTTTTCCTAATTGTTATGGGATGCCATACTGCTCCTTGACCCCTTTCCACTCTGTTCTGGGGTTTGGATGGCTTAA